AGTTTTGTTTCTTACTTCAGTCCTGTCTTCTCTTTTTAAGCACCTTTGCAATTACACTGAATAATCCAGGACAATTGACTTTTAAACCAGTGGATTTGGATTCTTAATTTCATTTGCAATCATAATCTCCCCTTGCCATGTAACCCAATATGTCCACAGTTTCCATGGATTAGAATGTGAACATTACTGGAGGGCCATTATTGTGCCTATCACAAGAAATAAATGTCAATTTTAACCTGTTTTGACAATGAAAAGCAAGATTGTAGCCAGCAGAAACTGGAAAGGAGCCATATGGTGGTGCAGTGGTAATGAAGCACTCTGAGAGGCAGACCCCCACGGGAAGGTTCCAGGTTCATGTCCATAGACCTCCCTGAAGATGTCAGATGTGTACATGCCCATGATCCAGGACTAGCTGAGTCTGGGAGTGAATTGCAGAGTAAAGACTGTCTTAAAGACAGAAAGAGAGAGAGGAAGAGATACATACCACTTCCAATAGATGCTCTCTCTTTTTCTTTCTGTTTCTCTCACTCATGGAAGAAAAATGAAATGCTTTTCTTTTAAGTTAGTGAAACAAAGATGTTGGAAGAAAAGAGGTGAGGATATGAGGACAGAAGGGTTGATGAAACAAGAAATAAAAGTAACTAGTCAACTCAGCTACCTAGGTCTAGAATAAGCATGATGGAAAGGAGAGGTATGGGGTAATTGAAGTGAGCCAAGCACTCACATGCTCCTGAATAGAGAATTGATATTTAATCTCTAAAGGTACAAAATGAAAAAAAAATCATTATGAGTCCATTATTTAGAACTATGAAGTAAACTACCAAAATAAAACATATGTGGGTAAAATAGGAAAGGCTATTTTTCAGTATAAGCCTTCCTGTCACTTAATTTTTTTTTCTTTTTGTCTTTCTTCCCTCTCCCCATCTAAACTACTAAATCAGAAGCAAAAAGGGAGGGATCACTGTGGTGACTATGAGTATAGACTCTGAAGTCAGTTTCAAAACCTCACTGTACCACTTACCAACTAGGTGACCTTCAGAAGATGATTAAATCTGAGTCTGGCGTTCCTTATCTACAAGGAATAATATTGTCCACCTCAGAGTGTTGTTCAAGGGTCATATGGGTTAATAAGTGTCAAGAGGAGTGCTTGGTACACATTACATGCTCAAAAATGGATCATTATAAAATCCACCATGTCCATATATGACTTTGATCAATAGTAAGAAACAAGAATGGCAATATTGTGTTGCATTAGTTTGCTAAGGCTGCCATAATGAAGTACCACAAGCTGGATGAGTTCAAACCAAACCAATGTGTTTTCTCATAGTTCTGGAGGCTCAAAGTCTGAAATGGAACTGTCAGTAGACTCACTCTCTGAAACATGCAGGAGACACCTTCCTTGCTTCTTTGTATCTTCAAGTTGTTTGCCAGCAGTCTTTGGTGTTTTTCGGCTTATGGAAGCAGCACCTCAGTCTCTTCCTTCATGTTTACATGTGTTCTCCCTATGTGTATACGTGTGTTCAAATTTCCCTCTTTACAAAGACACCAGTTATATTGGATTAGGTGTCCACCCTTACTGGTGTCTTTACTTCATCTGCAATGATGCTATTTCCATAAAAGATCACATCTTGAGGTACTGGGAATTAGGGGGTCTGTGTCCCCCAGAGAGGTCTGTTATGAAGGATTCGACCCATAACACCTGTGTTGCTGTGGGTACAGGGAAGCTATCATGCTCCTACACTGATAAAGTAGGTGTGAATCATTTAACCTTTCAAAACAGCAGTTTGTCAATATGAGTTAATTTTTGAAAAAATATAGCTACTTAAGTAGCCATCCACATTCTGGCTAAATCCTAGGCAGATAATGGCACGAGGGCAACATGCTATATGGACAAGAAGGGTCTGCAGGGTTGTTTATAGCATTAACACACAGAACATACTCGCAGATCGCTGGTTAACTAGATTATGATCCACATGGGTAGGCTATAAAAATAAAGGTATTATTTTTCTGAATTTCACAACAAAATGTTGCACTTCCCAGCTACAATGACACATATAGCATCATTGCCTAAAATGTTCTGGCCTTGGAAGATGGCATTTTATTTTATTTTATTTTATTTAAAAGTGTTTTATTTAAAGTAACCAAAACAGGTAATTGTGACTATGTGTTCATTCTAAGTGTTTATATATTGTTACCAAAATCTGTGTACATTCTGTTTGGATCCTGCACATTTAGTGACATGAAGAAGTGTTTATAATATAAAACTAAGTATAAAAAAAGTATAAAACAGAACCAATAATATGGTTCTATTTATTTAAAAAAACATTATATTTAAAGAAACAATGCAAAGGAGAATCTCTTAAAATATCAAAATGTGGAACCAGCAGATGGAATAGTGGTTATATCACTGGACTTTCACATAGTTGGCTGCAGTTCAAGTCCCACACCCAGTGGCTTAAAACTCACACCGAGCATGTGTGCGTGAGTGTACAAAATCCTGAGAGGAAAATGGAGAAGGGATTGTGGCATGGCCATCTCCCCTGCGGGGTGATTTCTAGCTTCTCTCTCTCTATCTCTCTAGCGAGTACACACACCCTATAGCAAAAATCTCTCCCTCTAAAATAAATAAATAATAAAAATTCTAATTTCCTACATGAACATACATCATCTCTGTGATACAGAGGGAAACAGTGGTTGAAGAAAATGAAATGGAGCTGGGATGCTTGATAGGTCTTAGAGTCCATGCTGGGAGGCAGCGCTGCAGAAAGGCAGGGAAGTGAGGAGTATGAATAGAGGCAGGGAATTCTCTCCTTGTGCAGGCCAGCATCTTTACTATACTCTGCTTACTGCACTGTGCTATACTTTTCTAGGCCTATGCTGCAGCCTGGGTTGTGTTGTGCAGGTGGCCAGCTTCCTCCCAGGCCTTCTTCTCCCTTCTGGAAACTTGGGACACAGAGGGGAGGGGAGAGCAGGCGGTGTGCTTCGGGCTGATCCCAGGGGCGGAAGCGGCAGCAGCAGCAGCAGCAGCAGCAGGAGGAGGGACTGGCCCCTGGGGGCAAAAGGCCAGCTTCTCTGATCAAAGGTAATGGAAGGACAAATGAGGGACAGGAGAACGAGGCCAGCTGGTGGCTCCTCTGCCTGCTTGCAGAGTGCAGAATCACTGACCAAACTGGGAAGATTCCTCCCTATGCCACCCAGACAGACCACAGTCGCTCTACTCTGTGGGTGTGTTCAGAGAACATTGTACTGAAGTAGACGAGGGGTCAAAGACAACTCCCTGCTCATGAAATTCACATAATATGGACATGTGCGCTCTCAGACTGCCTTGTGATGCCTGCTTCTGCTCTCTTTTCAGGGGCAGGGGTGAAGACAGGAGCACATGGCTACCAGGGGACCTGCCACAGACCAATGGGCAGAGGGAAAAATATTCATGGCCCCACAGCCAGAGCCCCACAGCCCACCCTCCACTCCTTTAGGATAGTAGTTAGCAGAAATGGATTCAGGCAGCCTGGGCGAGAATCCCTCCTGCCACCACCACCACCACCACTCCCCACCCAGCTCACAGTCACAGAAGCCCCAGGAAACTGCCCCTGCCATAGTCCCAGGGATCTGAGCCCCCATATCCTTGAAAGGAGCATGGCTAACCTCTCAGATAAGCTTATTGAATGCTCTTGGGGTAAAGGAATGGGGTCTAGAGAACCCAGGCCACAGCTTCTTCCAAAGCTGGCCTGGGCCCCAGCAGCCAGTTCTCATATACAGGAGGTGATTGGAGGACAAAGAAGCGCCCTTCAGATTCACATATAATTCTTGCCTGTTTGGGCCCTTTGGCTTGCTCCATCTCTGGAGACCTGCAATCCCTTGACCCAAGAGCACATTGCAGGACAGCAGACCACCAACTCCCACAGCCCTGTACCCGTGGTTTCTCTGAATCTTATTTTTAGCCTTTTGCAACTTCCCCAATAGGCTATACTCTCTTGCATATCTTGACTTTTGGACCTCATTTTTGCTTTTGTCAGAAATACCTTTTCCCCACACCAAATTCCTAAATCCTGTTGGTCCTTCAAATCCATTTCAAATGCCACTTTTTTCAGGTACTCTTCCCAGCTCCCTGGGTGGAGGAAGAGCAGGAGGGCCAACAAGATGACATACTGGGATACATTAAGAGAGAACAGCATATGTCCAGATAATGAAACAGAAGAACATGAATACCCACTTCGTTTATAATTCTGAATTCATGGAAACAAGTATTGCTTGAAAATGATTAATGTTGGAAGTTCCTATCCTTTCACAGAAAAAAAAAATCATGTAAGACAGCCCCAGGATATATTCCATTTTGACAAATTCCCTAAGGCTAGTTGGAATTCAGGCCACCTCCTTCCTCAGATCCCTGGAACCGGTCATTTTCCAAATGGATGGGGGATTTAAAGTTACAGAAAGAGTCTCTTGTTCCATTTGTCAATATCTAAGGATTAGCCATCTAGAAGAGCTGACAGGTTTTGCTAGATAAGCTTGTTTTCAGAGGTGGTTGATCCACTTAAAATAATTCAATGGCTACTCCCTGAATCTCCTGGCTGAGTACCTGACCTTTCTTGGGTTATTAATGTGCCACTTCAGCACTAATTTAAGAGGATGTCTTAATGAAACCTTTAGGATTAAAGTTCAGCCGTCTCACTCCATAGCTGCCCTCTCTTTTCTTTTCTACTGTACTCCAATCTCGGTGCCCTTGATCTTCTGCCCCACCACCCAAGAGGCAACAGGGCACCATGGTTAAGAAGATGGGCTTCAGAGCCAATCTTTCCAGATTCAGATTTGGGCTCTGCCATTACATAACTGTGATATGGGGCAAACTGTTAGACTTCTACATGCCTCAGTTTCCTCATGATAATAGGACCTTCATTGGAACGCTGTTTTACAGATTAAATAAGTTATGAGCACTTAGAACAATGACTGGCATGCGGTACAGGTTACAGAAATGTTTGTTAACTAAAACGAGTATATACCTGTACTAGACCGGATTATCTCTGTTCCAACAACATGGCCCAACAGGTCATACTGATTCAGGCGAGAGCCATCCTGGGCCACTTCCACAGATTTGTTCTTCCCAAGAGTCCAAGAATAAACCACTTCTGCTGTTGTATAGGCATCTAAGGCAGAGAAGGGTCAAAAAGGAGAAGATGATGGGAAAGGAAAATGATTACTACGCTTGCATGAGATTGAACCACAACATTCATCCCTAAAGAGTTCTGGGTACACGTCCTATCTTCAACTAAAGTATATCCATCCATTGAAGAACTACCATAGTATGACGTGACTTCACAAAGCTTGCAGGAAAATGGAATTACAGTACAAGTTTATTTTGATGTAAAAATTTGCGAAATTCATGCATGGCTTTCCCTCAATATGTATTTTCCCATGAACTTCTTGAAAGTCCCACTTTTATACTGGGTACATAGAAATGAACCATAGTCACATCTTCCTTCAATGACATAGTCTTTTAGATTGCCACGAAACTTGTCTTTGTTTTGGAGAGTAGACAGCAGGGGCTGGGGGAAGAATGCCTAAAATATTATCTCACGTAGACATCATAAGCTCAAATATCTACAGGATCCTGAGACATACCTTAAATGAGCAAATGAGCCTAGTTATAAGGAAAACAAACTGTCAAAAAAGTAATGAAATTTTCTTTAATTAATTATGGGGTGAGCACATGAGATAAAGCAACAATTTATAATAGTGATATTTTAAATTAAAAATGAACAATTCAAAATTAAAATAGCAATAATTAATATTTACAATATTCTTTCATAATTTATTCATTACTACTTTGATGTGTAAACCAGAACCTGACACACCTTTTCTTCTTCACCAGGGTGTTAATGTCAGGTCTTCTACTTACCATTCTAATGTCAAATACAAAATTTTGTACAGATAAACCTTAAGAGGGTCATAGAAAAGGGAAATAGTAGTGGAAAGAGGTAGGGTTATTTAGTTTCAATCAGAATGTTACAGGAATGAATTGATTCCTTCTAGATACAATTGACTCAGCACAGAAGATTTTAATATTGGGGGTGAGATTCTTTCCTAACTTAGGCATCTAGGCCCACAAAGACAAACCAACCACCATATTTTTTGACCCCTCTTCTCCACATTTTGAGGTGTCTTTTATTCAGGTTGAGGGTCAGAATTTCCAGTTCATAGTGGCAAAAGTATTCCCATAGTATGCTTTATTTAAACCTTCCACGACAAAGCAAGTGCTCTTGCACTCTCCCTCTCTCACGCTCACAAAAGAAATAAACTTTAAAATTTTTCTTTGTACATCTTTTCTTTTTTTTTTTCTTTTTTCTTTTTTTTTTTTTTTTTGGGGGTTTTTTTTTTTTTTTTTTGTGCGCTTGACAGAAAGACAGGGATACAGAAAGCAAGAAATCACCGCCCAGGGGACATGGCCAGGCCGCAATCCCTTCTCCTCCATTCTCCTCTCAGGAACTTGGGCACACACATACATGTGCCCGGTGTGAGTTTAAGCTACTGGGTCTGGGACTTGAACCACGGTCGACTACATGGGAGTCCAGCAACATAACCATTATGCCAACTGCTGATCCCCATTGTACATCTTTTCTACATGTCAACTATACTTTTCTATAATGGATTGCAGAATTTTGATACTTGAAGTTGCATATTTTCAACAAAAGCATACTTTGTACACATAGTAAAGATGTAGAAATATTTGTCATTTCTATAAGGAAATGCACACTCATGTCTTTTTTGAAACACAGCTCTCAGTTTATCTTTTACTTTTCTTAAAAAATGTTTGATTAATACTCTCAACTGGTCTGGTCTGCAGTATATTTCATGTTGGATAAATTCTCTATACAAGCTGAATGATGCATAGAGATTGAATATATAAAAAATAATAATTATAATAAAAATAATAAAATCATACTGTAACCCACAAAGACATACATAGATTATATTTAAACAAGAATCATAATAAATAAAGAAGACTGGCATCAACAACAACAACAAAATGTTTGATAGATATGGGTGCAAGAACTACTTCACTCTTCTCTTAATTCTACTGGGAGCTCTTACTTTTAGGTTAAAACAAGAGCGCAAGTGAGTTGATTAATGGCAACCGATGTTGGATTTTGCTTTCAGGAAGGAGATGAAAGAGATAAATACTCTGAGGAATGGGTGAACATGTATCCCTCTCCAAGAGACAGTCACTGCTCAGCCCAGTACTCTTAAAACAATAAACTAATCTAGATTTTTTGAGACATATCTCAAATATCAAATCTTGAAAAATAACTTTAAAAGTTTTGGGAGCAGCAATTGGTGTAATGGCTATGTCTCTGGGCTCCCATGTAGTCGACTGTGGTTCAAGTCCCAGGCCTGATGGCTTAAACTCACGCTGGGCGCATGTGCATGCATGCCCAAGACTCCAAGAGGAGAATGGAGGAGAAGGGATTGCAGCATGGCCATCCCCCTGGGGGGTGATTTCTCGCTTTCTGTCTCTCTGTCTCTCTCTGTCTGTCTGGTGAGCGCACGCACCCCACAGCAAAAACCTCTCCAAACATAAAAACATTTTAAACACTGTATGGATCACACAAATCACCTCTACAGCCCCTAGTTTACAACTTCTGCTCTAGAAACTTCCTTCTAGATGGCTATGGTCTTTACAATTTAGTCTTGGAACCAAAGCATCCTCTGTTAAATGCAGGTATCCTTGTATTTCCAACTTGACTTGTAGATCTTCACTACTACCAAAAAGAAAAAGAAATATTCTCCTAAGGATCTTCTTACCCTCCTACCTAAAATTTATTCTGCTATTATGGGAGGACTCGCACAATGCTATTAGTGAAAGATGACTTCACAAGGCCCTTGCCCTCTCATTTTTCCCCAGTTGTTTCTGTCTTTAGTACATATACTGGGGATATCCCTATTCCTAAGCAGAGAATCATCTTTGTATGTCTTCTTACCTTTGCTGTTTAGGTAGTTATAACATTCTGTTTAAAGGACAATACAATGTTCTATACAATCTACCCAAGAGTTTGACAATGTGAAAACTAGAACACATGAGCTCAGGGAAAGGGCAAGTGATGGAAGATTTCTTTTTACTCCTAAAGAAAAAAATAAATAAAAATAGATTTCTCATTGAATCTTTTCACTTAAGTTGAATACCTGAAGCAGAGTCTTAAATATTAGTCCTAAAAACCCTAGCAAATTCTAGTGCAAATGTGACAATAAATTGCACAGCGACCTATATCTCAAACTCTACTGGGGCCAGAGTGGCTAGTTGCTTTATGCAAAAAACAATGATTTAACTTCTTTTTCAATAATATATGTGTTCAGAAGGATTTATGGAGGACAAAACACTCTCTTCCTATAAAATACAGGTCGAAGCAGAAAAGGCATGAGCTAATGAAGGAAGAGAAGGAAGAGCGAATAATACATTTTTTAAAAAATGGAAAACTACTTGATTTAGTGTTTTCGCAGAGCCTGACCTTGTACTGGTTCAAAAGGTTAATAAGGCACAGTAACCACCATCAGAGAGTCTACAATTTATTGAGGGAGAGGGGAGAGCATAATAGTTCTAGTGTAACTTTGAACATAAGAAGTATGCACACAAGTGAAACAAAAATAAGTATTAAGTGAAACAAGAGTTGAACACTATTACTCCTGCTCAGAGTGGGATGTTGAAGAAAGATTAAGTATACATTACTCAGAAGATACTCAGAAGATGATGCCACCTTTGGTAGGTAAAAGAAGGACTTTCCTAACAAAAGAACAACATGGCAATGGCAACAAGTACTGGAACAACTGGAGTGGCATTGGAATAATGGGATCACTGGACTTATAGCTATAGAAAAGCTGAGGTAATACCATGAAGTATCCTAATTGCTCATGCTAAGAAATAAAGAGTTTGGGACCAGCAGTTAGCGTAATGGCTATGCTGCTGGACTCCCATGTAGTTGACCCCAGTTCGAGTCCCGGGCCTGGTGACTTAAACTCACACTGGGCATGTGTGTGTGCATGCCCAAGATCCCAAGAGGAGAATGGAGGAGA